TATGATTATTTCTGTGACATGATGTGTCAACTTCGTAAAGTACCTTCAATCTAAACTGGGTTTCTCGAGAGTACCCAAAGAACCCCAGGGGTCAAAAAAGTTTCTAAATTACAGAAAATGCTCACGCGTCCCTTCGGTCCGCGCTCGCAGCCAGGACAGGTGTTACACTTCCCTGATTCTACATAAAGCTCGAACGCAAGCACCTCTGCGCACCAATGTCAATGACACTCATTAGTGATTCTGTATATGTACGTCCGTCACACTGCTACATGACAATATGTACGTACGTCCGTCACACTGGCTGGTCTTTTTTTTTTCGTATTTTTTTCGTATGACCATAGACTTACAGTCAATGGAATAAAGAAATATAGAAGAATTTGTCCAATGAAAAGTCAATTGTTATTTGTAAGCCAGATAAACAAAGAAGAGTGGTGATTCTCAATAAAACTGAATATACAATAGAAAATAAATAATATTGTGAACAATACGACTGCATTTAAATCAATAACAACTGAACTCACTATTAATAACGAGAATAAACTCATACGATTGATATTCAAATGGTGAGAGCGAAGATTTATAATTGATGATGAATATATATATTAGCTAGATCAGTTTGGTCACGATTTGCGAGATTATACTGCGTACCAAAGGATCATAAACTGAATCGACCTATTAGACCGATACTATTAAAACCTTCAATTATAGGCAGGAGTTGATACTTGCTAAACAGTTACAGCATTGGAGAGTAAGTCAAAGTATTGTGAAAGACTCTTTAGAATTTGCGAATGTGGTAAGGACCTTCTCAAAATCGCACTTGAATTTGAAAACGTTGCCGTATACTGTTAAAAATCATCTAAGAAAGTTGATAATCAGTTGTATGAACAGACTGATGATGTTAGCCTGGATGACCCATTAAAGAGTACAATGACTTTGCTGGTAAGAACTAAAGACTTCAATTTTGTGTCGTTTGACTGCTAGAATGTTCTCGAGTGTCTCACGCTCACCACTCGCCACCACCTCTGTTGTTCAGGTTTTTGCACTCTTCAAGGGAGATTCTTGGGTGGAAGAGCATCGATCGACTAAAAAACCGGACGAGTGTGGCACCAGTTCGATTCGAAAAACAAGATTTCGATTGAAACTCCCACCTTACGGCGCCGAGAATACTCAGAAGTGTCCTTTCTCCTTTTTGTCTTGTCGGTATATTCATGAATCATCTTCAAGAGTCTCTACACGATGATTTATACAGAAATGGACTGACTGAGATTATAACGTAGATACGTGGATGATACATTTACAATGGTACATCCGAATAAACGATTTTCATCCGAGTATTGCATTTGTTATTTGTATGCGAATTGAAGCAAACAACACTCTATCTTTTCTTGATATTCATATGTTAAGAACAGCTATTGGTATTCGACAACTGTTTTTTGAAAAAGTATATTCACCAATCTCATTATGAACTGGAGCTTGCTGTCGTGACTAGCGTGAATAGCGATAACGATAAAGTCCATCACAGGTAGAGAATATTCATTGAGGCTCCATACATCGAAAATGGTTCAGAAACCCACGTCGTCTATTTTTAAAGAAAATCGTCAGTTTACACCTCGAATTAGACTTTAAACTAAAGAACCCATATTGTTCATTTTTTATTTTTGTTTATGTTTACTGATCTTTGTTGTTTGTTTCTATTTTTTGAGAAAAATAACAGTGTGCGTGTGTCTAATGAATATGTGTGTTTCCAGATAAAGAACGAGTTTATGGAACAACGAAATATGACTATTGTTTTATGAGGATGGTACTACTCCCAAATGATGTTGATCGATCATTTGCGTTATGTCTAGAAATGCTTTTTAATCTGATAATATTGTTGCAATCGGTACTGTTGGGGGTGTTTGTGCCTGTCTTGCTTTACGATTGCTTTTATCAGCGATAAAGTATCCAGTTGTCCCCGTCAGGGATAGACAGGTCATAATTAGCACGATGCCGATACCTATTGTTATTGTCATACTATCATGTATATCCATTTTATTAGTCGGTTTTTCGGAGAATTTTTTTATAAAGTCACCTCATAATTGTCGGGTAGACTAGATCAGTTTGACGATTTCATGATCGTTCAGAATCGTAATGTTGCTGTTAATAGTGATATGATTGAACGGTGCGAGAACTTGTTTTTAAATCGGGTATGATTTTAGCAGATCTTTCATGCAATGAGGTTGTTTATTGATTATTTTGAGATCGTGGCAATCTATCTCATGATAACACGGGATATCTACGACGGTGGTGTTTTCTAAGACAAGATTAATCCGAGGATAGTTCTGTGCCCCGGAGTATCGCGTGTTATACAAATTGCAGTGCAATGGATAGAAGGTCGCTATAATGTACCGATTTCCGTCCAAGTGATAATGTACGATCTGGTCATCATCATATTGATGAAAACGGCAGTTATCAATCGATCTATTCTCTAAATATAGGTTGATGCATGGGTTCGTGATAAATATATTTATTGAAGGTGTAATACGACATGTCGTAGTGCTACCGAAGTCGCAAATATCGTCATTAGACAGTATAATGAACTGTTTATTCATTAAGTTGTGAACCCAAGTGGATTGGTATGTTTAATATCCCTAACCGATTGTCATGACCTTGAATCGGGACCTTGATGAAGCGGACTCGGATGAAAATCGTGCATTCGGATGTACCATTGTAAATGTATCATCCACGTATCTACGTTATAATCTCAGTCAGTCCATTTCTGTATAAATCAGAAGGCTTCTGCTGCATTTAAACGCGTTTTCAGCCAAAAACGCGTGTAAATGCATAAAAAAAGAGAAAAAGTGGTCGTTTTTCTCATAGTCGTTACCAGTGACGGGATCATAATTAGGGTTCTCGAGTATGAAAAAAATGATCAATCTTTTTATGTATTTACACGCGTTTTTGGCTGAAAACGCGTGTAAACGCAGCAGAACGGGGAAAAATGGGCGCTTTTCGCTCATAGTCGAGAACCCCGATTGTCATCCAAACACGCCCATTTTTTCTAGATTTTTCGTCTTTTTTTGTGCGCTTAAACGCGTTTTCAAAAAAGTTTGTCTGCTTGGGTATTCATTATGTATTGTCACTTGATCTAATATTAATTCTCATTGAATTAGGACGCTTGCTGCTCAGCAGTGAAAAGATAAACCTGGTGGATATTCTAATTTTCATCGATATTTTAGTTCTATCATGCACCTTTTTTGGATATTTGATAACAATAGCTAATATCAATCAACGAATAATAGTAGACTCTCAACAACTGATTAAGCGAACAATTACGAAAAAAACAGTAAAACTCATTGATATTCGATCCATCAGCCACAAAACACCACAAGATCAGGCAGAACAACAAGATCTTGAAAATTCCATTCAATATCTCTCTGCGATGGCAACTTATACCGAAAATGAGAAAAATAATTATTGCATTCGAATCCTTTATTGGTTCACAATCGACATGAATTTGGTTGATAAAGCTGGTTTTACAGCTTTGACTGCAATCATATCATTGATAATTGGTTTGGTCAAAGATAAATTCAATATCTCTTAAGAGTTCTTTTGCGCATCGTGTGTATAGTTTGCACTTAAATCAATTAAAAAACAGATTGACTTGTCTTGAGGGCGTGGGTATAAGTAAATCAATTAATAAAGGGATCATTCTATATTCTAATGGAAGAACAAACCACTATATGCTACTTTCAACTTTCGGTTTTCAGCGATTGATCTTAGTCACAATAATTTCAAAGAAATTTTAAATAATATGCTTCATTTAGAATAGTTAATTAAATGCAGAGTTTAAGTTCGCCCACACGTTTCGTATGCTTTAATTCCTCTCTAATAGAGAGGTCAGGAGAGGAGTCTAAAAGAAGATACTGAAGGAGTTTCAGAAAAGAATAGATCAAACTTTTATGATGAATACACCATACTTATAGGATGAACACTCCATGCTTTTAAGATGAATACACCGGGAGGAGACGAGGAGGTAGAAAAATAGGTCAAAATCAAGGCTTTGTGAGTATAAAACTTCAACTCCTTCTTCGAAGATGCTGAAGGAGTTTTATAAAAGACTATGAGTTTTTTCTTCAGTTACTCAAGTAAAACTTCTAGTCTGATCAAATGTAACTTTACGCGAGTCATAATGTGTGCCAATGAAAAAGCGATATTTCTAAAAAAATTCCGATCGTCTTTTCGTAGAGCTCTGAGAGACATTTCAAAATATGCACCAATGTCTTTTACGTCAGCGATAAAATACTCAAATTTTGTAGTTTCGATTTTAGATACAGGAGAGTGCTACTGAAAAGCCCCACAGTAGGGGCTATCCTTAAAGATACCAAAAAAATATTTTCAATGACGTCACTGAATCCGAAACGATGTTTAGCTGCGTCGTATGCCGGATTTGGTGACGAAAAACATAATCAGCAGAATTCAAATATTAAGGTCTCCCAAACATTCTATATTGGAACAATACGTTACACAACATCAACTATTCAGTTAATTCACAAATTAGTGATGCGTGTATAATTCACCAAGTTAGAAATGAATTTCATACTGGATTTATAAAAAAAGTATATACAACAAAAACCAATATGTAAGGTTTTGCTTTATTATGTTGTCTTTCTTGGTTTTTTATTTATATAGATTCCGTGATGCTGATTACGAAAATTGATATTAGAGCTCATAGAAACATTTCGCTGTCGAGATGCACTTGATTCAAAAACCTACGAAAAATAGACCTTTTTATACCTTAATACTTACAGTTCAGGCAACTAAGAAGTGACATGATTCGAAATACTCTAGTTATATGTAATTCAATGTGCTCTATCCAAATCTGAAAGAATTAACTCGATGGATCTCGCTATTCGTAGAACCACATGACCTCCCGATTCTTGTTCTTATAAATGATCCAAATAAAGTGATACTTAGAAACCTTGAACAAAAAGATATTTACAGTGTAAATACGTTTAAGTATGCGAGAGAGTATTTCGAATCATGTCACTCCTCAGTTGCCTGAACTGTGAGTATTAAGGTAAAAAGAGGTCTATTTTTTGTAGATTTTTGAATCAAGTGTATTCCAGTAGCGAGACATTTCTATGAGCTCTACTGTCGGTTTTCGTAGTCAGTATCACGAAATCTATATAAATAGAGGAAATTTTATGAGACATTCGAAAAAACATTTTCTGTGATAGGCTATTTGCCCTAAAAATTTTCGAAAATTTTTTTTTCCGTTTTCTAGTTATCTGTATATTCAGAATTCGATGCTGAATTCTAATATCATGTTGAAATTGTGTAAGTTTTTGAGCTGAAAACATCGCTTAATAGTCCTTTGTAGAACGGGAAAAAACAAAGAAAAAACGTGACAAAAGGAAAAGAAAAAGAGAACGTAGAAAAGCGAAACACCCATCACATAAACTAAAATTTCGAATTGTGTTTTAGCATTTATATTTTATTGATTAAACAGAAAAAATTGATTTTTTTCCTCACCTGTGTATTAATTGTCTATTTGTTTTTCTTGATAAAACTTAAGCTTGTATTTTCAGTTAAGATCTCTTTTATTTTTCGATATTTTTGGTGTCTAACTCTTACTTATAGTTTGATTTCTTCTTTTTTTCAGATCCACAATGACATCTAACATTCGAAAATTAAGTGTTAAATTCAATCATGGTCAGTTAACATCGTCTCACATTAGATATCAAAATCGTGCTGCAGCTGTATATGATTGTACCGGATGTTTAAATGATGCTAATTTAGATTTGATTTGTCATTTACATAGTATCTGCAAAAAACAGCTATTAGGTGATATACATGGTGATTTGGAATTGATTTTGGAAAAACACAATTTAAAAGATGTGGCATCAGTTCAAGAAAAAATGAAAAATATTTTATAAGAAACTGACAAACAAATGCGTCCAGAATTATCTGGTGTTGTCCATGGAATTACATTTGATTTTGTTGAACAGTTAATTGAAACACGTGATGTTGAAAAAATAGCAAAAGAATTTTGTTCACATTTTCTTAAACAACAGCTTGATCAACAAATTAAAAATGACATGAAATTTCTTGATTCTTTATCATCTAATACTCATACAACAGCCGTTTCATCATCAAGTAAGTTAGTTATACCTTATGTTTATACTATTATTTTCGACTCAATGAATTATTCTTTTCTACGTTTCAGATGTTTTACAATCAATTCAAAATGAAATAACTTTACAAATCGTCTCACCATCACCATCAATTAAATATTTAACACTACCAACTGAAAAAGAAAACAAAAATAATAATAAGGTCTACATGATTCATCCATACTTCTTCTAAGATATGATTTTTCCTACATACTTTTCTTTTAGGCAATAAAAATTATTCAACCATCAAAAGCTATTCCTGTTAAAATTCCACCTTTAGCTATTACACATAAACGTAAGTATCATATATTATTGTATACTGAATGATGTATTGTTTTTTATTCTAAACGCTTTTTGTAGGTGCTGTTAACGAACAAGTGCATGATGTTTTACCAACAAAACAATTAGATAGATCAGTTCAACCAATAACAATCACAATTCCAATTATTTTTCCACCACAAGTGATTTCAACAACTTCTAATCAAAATGTCATATCCAATATTTTAAAAGATAATGATATATACAGAAAGGATATGTCTAAGTATTAATTGAATAGTAAAGTGTACTACATTGCTTTCATAAGTCTCGTTCAAATTTGAAAAATTTGTTGTTGAGGTTACTCTCCATCTGATTTCACAAGTTCTATGTCATATTAGTAGAACTGAAATTTAGCCTATTCTCGTAAATTTTTTTTGCGTTCTATATTTGTTTGTTCTGCTAAACTTCTAATGCGCACTTTACTTTACACATAGCTAGAAAACCCTAATTGAGTTAATAATATGTTTTCACTATTTTTCGTTGCGTTCACACTTTCTTAATATATGAGGCAAATTACAGATTGTCATAAATAAATGTTGTGAAGAGTAGTAACAATGAGGAAAATTCCTCTGAAGGACTTTTTTTGAAAAAATGATTTTATCCCAAAGAAATTAGCAGTAAAACCACCTTCGATTAATCCTTAAAAGCCGAGGGGGGTTCTGCTTATGGCAGGAGGGAGCTAACCACAAACATATAGATTATGGGCCCTCAGCATACTCATACTATAGTAAAAAATAACAATCTTGGTCTTCTTCCAGGACTACCCCATGTCCCTTTGTAGAAATCGGCGCCCTCATAAAAATCCGAAAGATAAGAATTTTGGTTTGAGAATCTGCCCTTAGATAGATTTCATAATGCTTCAAACGTCCTGAAATTTTCACTTAAAACAGATGTTTTTTTATCGAGATATTTGATACCCAAGAAAACCGGTCACATTTTGGAAAAATGGCTAAAAGCCGACTTTTCTTCGACATTCAGTATGTCGCGAAGGAAACAACTGTTGTTGCTGAAATTTTCAGGATGCTCTAGATATGAGTAAAGCTATGTTTGAGCGAACTTTCAGATTGAAATTGCTAGTTTTTGTTTTTTTATAAGCCTGAAGATCCCATCCATGAAGCATTTCCTTTACATTGGCGTAATCTGTCACTAGATCGGTTAAGAAAATAATGAAATACATCCATCAGATAGCTTGACGCTATGTCGAAGGATGCTACAGAGAAAGAACGAGACTATACGTTCCATTTCTGAATAAATGAAAACCTAAAAAAGAAAAATTATTTCAAAATCATTATCAGCTGTAAAAAATCAATTGATTAGTCTGGCAATCACTTGAAGGTTTTATTTTGATGTCAGTATGACCACCAAGATCATCTCAGCCCAGAAAAATATCCACTTCTGTTCCAAAAGTCTTCTTAGGATTTGTACTGCATTTATTCAAATGTCCCTTGGAAGGAACATTCGGCTCTTAAGGGTTAAAATCGCTCTCATCTCATAAAATTTTTTTAAAACGGCCACGCTCAAATCTTTGTATTAGACTTGATGCAAAGAAAAATATATGAGAAATATTCCCCGGATTTTAGAAAAATCTGCCGTTTCTTAAAGGAAATGAGCAAACAATCTCTTCACTTAGCGTGTGTTTTACTTTTTTTTTACAACGGTTTGTTCATCGTTTTAAAGACAGAGCATGCTGATCATAGGAAAGGAGATGAGGGGGCCTGAGTCAGCTTTTACAAAGTCAAAGATCGATAAAAGTCATTTTTTGAGCAAAACTAAGCTCAATTATTAGCCGTAATAAATCGAGTCTCATAAAAATATTTTTAATTTATATATTTAGATCGTATTAATCGTCTGACTGTCGCCGCTGCAAATCAGATTTTATCACCTGCATCCTTTGTTCCTGTCTGTACACAAAAAATAAAAGATCTTTTGAATATGGGAAATAGCTGCTTTTTCAACGTCGTTATGCAGTTATTGGCAGCTACTGATCTATTATTAACATTTCGATTAGTACATTGTAAATTTGAAAAAAGTAAGTTAATATAAACTTTTTTCGTATTAACTTTATTATTTATTATACGTTATGTCCTTGAACGTTCGATTCACCGTTTTATATTGACTTATGGAACTATCTTCTGCTTGAGCAGAAATATTTTTCTAGAAAATTCAGGCTGCGGAAGCTTTATTTTCTTCTGCATCTGTTTCAAAAAAACCTACGTCGTTTATAATACTTCGTTGATGTGCACTATTGATTTTCTTGAATATATTCGTTCTCAGAAGAAAATTTTGAAAGAACGTTGAAAAAAATAAGGGAATTTGTTCTCATCTTATCATGTTGAGAATCGAAAACTAACGAGTGACCCATAAAGAATGACCCCCTCAGTATTTTGCTTATAACTTGGTTTGAATTTGTTTTCGAGACTCGATGCTTGTTTTTAAAAGTTGAGCTGCGAAATTTTCTACAGAATCATACCTAAACTATAATTTCAGAACTTCAATCAAGAAAGCTAAGCCAATTAGATGAATGGCGAAAAACATGTAAACTTTCTAAACTCAAAATTTTTTTCGACTTTAACTTTTTCTTCTGCTACTATTTCGGCTAAAAAGTGTAGCAAAAGTGAGAACTCTGTTTATGTTCGGTACTTTCAAATGTGCTCTTTCTCGTGGTCTGTAAAAAACCTTTTTTAGAGCAGATGGTGTGTTACAAAAATGCATCAAAGGTTGACAACCTCCTCATTTCCAACGATGTGCTCAATCAAGAAACGGAAAAGATGCTTGTGATATGAAAAACTTTGAAGTGTAGCTAAAAGATAGAGCGAAGTCAGGGCTACACAATGGCTAATTCAGCTTTTCTTACTTTTGCACGTTAACACAAGAAGTCATTTTTGAGTTTATAAAGTTTACATTTTTTTCGCCGTTCATCTAATTAGCTTAGCTTTCTTGATTGAAGTTCTGAAATTATAGTTTAGGTATGATTCTGTAGAAAATTTCGCAGCTCATCTTTTAAAAACAAGCATCGAGTCTCGAAAACAAATCCAAACCAAGTTATAAGCAAAATACTGAGAGGGTCATTCTTTATGGGTCACCCGTTATTATCAATTACGTTTTTTCACCTTTAGTAGTACTGTGCCATTTTTTCATGTTTTTCGGAAAAAACAGTTGACAGTTTCTCGGTATACATTTTGGTGAAGTCTGTTGTTTAGCGTGTCTGATGCACCAGGAAGTTCTTATTTTTGTTTATGAATCTTTTTCCATTAAACATAATTTTCAAAAATAAGGTACCATTTGAAATATTCCAAAAATGTGATGAGAATCACGCTATGTACGGAAATATCGTCCAACTTTTTTAATGAAGAAAACATGTTTATCCTTTAAATAGTTGGCTTTCTGAGTTCCATTCGATGGCTTAAAGATCAGTTGGTCACGCTCTATTTGAAAGTGAAGGTAATAGAATCGTTATTTTCCGCATCACTCACCGCTAAAGTAAAATACTAGATTTTTTCACTCAGTTATGCTAGTTCTCAGGTTTAAAAGTGATAAATCATTCATTATTTAAAAGTTTGGTATGTCGAAACTCGGGTCTTGAGGTTTCTGAAAAATCCAGTTTTTTAGAAAATCTAGTGACTCTCAAAAGTTGTTCAATCACACCATTGAATAGCCCTTTCAATTCTCTACAAAATGAGATGTTGGCTAAGTTTCTACGAGCTTGGACGACCGAGTTACAGGCCTTTTAACATTACGAATGTAAATCCATCTACAATTTTTGCTTTAATGCTGAACTTTCGATATGTATCGTATTTTGTATGCCAGTTTTTCACAGAACAGCGTAGAAACTTCGCCAATATCTCATTTTGTAGAGAACTGAAGGGGCTATTCAATGGTGTGATTGAACAACTTCTGAAGGCCACTAGAGTTGATAAAAAACTGAGTTTATCAGAAATCTCAAGACCCGAGTTGTACATACCAAACTTTTAAATAATGATCCTAGTACATCTGCATGTGCTCTTTCAAACTGGACTAGTGCAAACGAAAAGAATGTGCATTTTATTGTCGCGTTATTGTCAAAACAAACGGTTTTATTTACATTTACATTCGAAGTCCTCACCACCACCAAGTCCACGCAGCAAAGCAACACAATTAAATCAAAACAAGCAAAATCAATTAACAAACGAAGTTAATCATAAAAGTTACCTCGCAGCAACATCTATCCGGAAGCCGGAACGGTTACAGTTAGAAACATTAATGAATAAAGGTGTTACACAGCGTCATATTTTTTTTGAACAAAAAAATCAACGTACAGTGAAGGAAAAATGTGGTTATAATTATGATTCATGTGGGACAAGTATTAGGACATTAAAAAAAATCAAGGCTGATTTCAAATCACAAGCATACAAAGCACAAAATGAAGATGATTCAATCCGTCATATTCAACAAAAATGGTTAGAAAAGTTATCCGAAACCAAATATGTCGGTAGTGCTATTCAGTAAGTTATTATTTTACCTACGTACATTCCAGTAGTTTCTTCGTAGTTTCTTATTTTAGCTTCAAACTCCTTCTTTCAATAATTTATTTTCGGCTCCGATTC